TTTTTTGTTTTAACAGATTTAGTGGATTAAAATACAAATTAATCTATAACATCTTACTTTATGTAGCTGTGTCCTAGACACATCCAGGAGTTTCTGCTTACAACTGAAAGAAGGTTGGAACTTTTGAAAGTATTTGTCCTTTGCTTCCAAGTGGGAGTGGAAGAGTGGGCTGGATATTTTTCTGCCTTGCATGTGGGCACAATAGTATTTGTTTTCTTCCTGAATGTCACTTTTCAGTAGCGTGTGATGCAAAGAGTCTAGTTCCTCTCATAGGTTCTGTCTGTAAAGTTGGTGATCAGTGATAGTAACCGTAGATATGCAAGTCTGACCTGGGTGTGTGAAGAGACACGGACATGAAAATCCTGGTTTTGTCACGTTGCTTCTCTGAGTACGGAGCTGCACTTTTACACTGTCAGCGTTCTCACAGATGTAATGGCGTAGATTTGGTAGGGACCTGCAGCAAGAAGCACTGATGCTGTGCAGCAAACATGCCGGGGGGGGGTTGTACCATGCATACAGAAATTCTGTAGAAGCTATGAGATTGCACTGAGTTAATGATTCTGTGAGATAAAGGGTTAACAGCTGACCGGTGAGCATGGACTCTGCATCAGACAATAGAGGACAGAGCTGAAATATTCAGCAAGCTTGTTTTTAATTGAAATATAAACAGAGCTGCTTTGCTGGGAAGTGCCTTCCAGATATACTTGTTTCTAGCCTGGGATGAGTAGTACAAAGTTCGCATTCTTCCTGCAGATTTAATGCCTGGCTGCCAGTGGCTTTCCACTCTCCGTTTAGTATTTTACACGTGTGAAAACTGAGTATGTAAAGAAATGCTGCACCGATGAGTGTGACAGTGGTACTAGCAATATGGAAGAATCAAGTTTTGGTCCATCTCTTCAAGCAAGTGCTGTTACTGGTGGATGAAGGAGAGGACTTTGCTGTGTAAATGCTCTAAGTTTGTGCACATAGCTGAGATCACATTAGAGTGGGAGAAGATTTTCATAGAATCATGAAGGTTGGAAAAGACCTCAAGGATCATCAAGTCCAACTGTCAACCCAACACCACCCGACCCACTAACCCATGTCCCCAAGAACCCCATCTACACATTTCTTGAACCCCTCCAGGGATGGTGACTCCACCACTTCCCTGGGCAGCCTGTTCCAATGCCTCATCACTCTTGCAGTGAAGACATTTTTTCTAACATCCAGCCTAAACCTCCCCTGGTGCAACTTCAGGCCATTTGCTCTTGTCCTATCACTATTTCAGGAGTTCCACTCCCCTTCCTGCCCCCAGGTTCTTGGTAACTGGAGTCCAGTGACTCCCCTGTATAGTCTGGTATCAGGGGAACAGACATAGAGGCACGGAAACAAGCAAGCACATGGAGCTAAGCTTCTGATCATATTTCCCATGCCTGCAGGGAAAGCATTAACCTCTCCCATACCAGCAGCAGAGTCACCTCAACCTGCATTATGCTTGTGAAGCATCTGCAGGTTCATGTGCAGAGATGGGACGTCTGTTGCACTTAATGATATTTTGTCTTACAGATGCTGTTCTCAGTAGATCCATCTGCTTTTAGCCTAGTGAAAGTTATGTTTCTGGGGAGGCTCTAGTAGTCTTCAGATGTCCAACATTAGTTTGACCAACACACCTTCAACTAATCAGCTTTTTCTCAGATGACAGTCAAGGCAAAGTTGTATGACTTTATTATATATTGAAGTCATCACTCAAGGCTTAACATCACTCTTAATAATACTTGGGTAAACAGTCAATGTTTGTAATACTTGTGTAAACAAGCACTTGGAAGATGGCCTAAATCATGAGTTTATGCAGCCAGCTTTGTCTGTCTGTGCTTGCACCAGTAGGAGAATGACTGTAATACATCTGATCTGTTAGATAGATACAGATTCAGATTTCTCTAGCTCTTCCACACCACACACATTTCTGCAGTGTTTCCTTAAAGTTCACTTTTATGGCTGGAGTAGATGTAGTTAAAGTCATGGTGTGATGGGTTTACCCTTGGCCCAAATCCACAAAACCGCTCTCTCTCTCACTGTGGGGCCAAACCACACGCCCACTCATGCAAAAACCCCCCCCAGCTGAGGGCAGGGGAGAGAATTAAAGGGGAAAAGGGAAAAAAGGACTCGTGGGTTGAGATAAGAACAATTTAGTAACTAAACTACAATAATACTGAAAATAATCCTATATACAAATATACAAATGAGTGATACACAGTGACACTGCCCCCCCACCCGATGACCAAGGCTCAGCCTGTTCCCGGCTAACGATCCCGGAGCACGGAGAGTCCCGAAACCACACTCACGGAACGGAGAGAACAGTCCGAGCATCCCAGACCCAGAGCTGACCGGGGTGGGGGGGAAAGGCCTTGGGAAAGCGACCACCTGGAGCGAGATGACCCGGAGCAAAAGAGATCCGGAACCAAAAGGGCCGATCTTCCGGAGGGTCCTCACCTCTATACTGGGCATGATGGGTATGGTATAGGATAGATTATTGTCCACTCTGGGTCTCAGTCCCGACCCTAAGATCAAATCCTGGGCTAGTCACTGCGGCTGTGCTCCCTCCCAGCTTCTCCTGTTTGCAGACAGCCAGAGAAGCTGAAAGACCTTGGCAGCCGCATAAACATCACTTTTTATCAGCTTTCTTCTGAGCACAAATCCCAAACACAGCCTCTCGCTCGCTACTGTGAAGAAAGTGAACTCTGTCTCAGCTGAACACAGGACATGGGTATAGTTAAAAGACAGTGTTGCAGTTCTCTAGTGTTTCCCGCATCCAATTAAATGTTTGCTCTGTACAGTATGTGTGCTATGTGAGGAATTCAAATAGTTTTCAGTCAGGGCACTGATTTGCAGATTTCTTATCTCAGGCATTTCTTTTAAGGACCTTGCACCCTCCTCATTCAAATAATACCAGAGCCAGGCTCTCATGAATTGAAGGGAAAAGATTTATTTAGAGTTGTTTCAGTGACGCTCACAGAAAGAGTGACAACCTTCCTCCTTTTTACATTAGAAAAATTTCCTTATGGAAAAGATGCATTTGCATTGTCTGAACTCTTTGTAGGACTGGAATTGTTCTGTAACTTTCTTGTGTATTTTTTTTTCCCTCAATCTTTTGAAGTGTATCTACTCAAGAGACAGTAATTAGAGATTGTTTCGTCTGTGATATCCTACTGGGTTCCAGTCCTGCAAGCGTTGAGGTCAATGGAATTATTCATGTGTATGAAGCTATTCAGATCCGCAAGCATTTGCAATATCTTAGTCCATGGTATTTTCTGTGGTAGAAAATAGTGCCATTGAACCTGGGCTTATAGGAATAGGTGTTGGATTGCTTTAGACTATACCAGAATAATTAAATGTAATCCTCAGTAGAGCTTGATTGGTTATTAAAATGTGCCTGTAAAGAAACAGGACCTGTAAACTGTTCCTGTGAAAAGCTCTTCATTAATAGCACACACATAATTCCTCATCCAAATGCATCCTTTTTAAGTATATTCTGTAGAGTTTAGTATAATCAAGTTGGACATAGTTCAGACTTGAATCAATTTAGAAACTGATTAGCCCATGCTGTTTGCAAGCTATTAGGAAAAACAAGTTTATAGCTGCTTTAGTGTTTTGTCTCTGTGGTATTAACAAAGTCACATCTGAAATCTGTAGCTGTACTCGTAACTAAACCCCACGCTGCTCCGTGCTGCTCAACTGCCTTTCAACCCCAGTTCTGTCCTTTCCTCCTTATGTGAGCTGAAGAGTGAAAGAAGACTGGCTCCCTCATCTTCATTCCGTCCCATCAGTGACAGCAAACCCTGAGCCTTCTCTTCTCCAGGCTGAGCGGTACCAGCTCTCTCAGCCCCTGCTCCTATGAATGATGCTCCAGTTCCAGGGATGCGCCAGGCATCTTTGTGGCCTTGTGCTGGACTTACTCAAGCCAGTCCATGTCTGTCTTGTGCTGGGGAGCCCAGAAGAGGGCACAGAGCTCCATATGTGGCCTCATGAGTGCTAAGCAGAGAGGAAGGATCCACCTCCCTTGACCTGCTGGCAACAACTCTTTCTGATGCAGCCCAAGGTACTGTTGGGCAGCTTTGCCATGAGGTTGCATTCCTGGCTCATGGTCAGCTTGCTGTCCACCGGGACCCCCGGGTCCTTCTCTGCAGCGCTGTCTTCCAGCCAGTCGGCCACCAGCGTGTGCTGGTCCCTGGGCTTATTTCCTCCCAGGTGCATTTCCCCTTGCTGAAGTTCTTGAGATTTTTCTTGACCCATTTCTCCCACTTCTAAATGGCAGCACAACCATCCAGTTTATCAGTCACTCCTCAGAGTTTTCTATTGCCTGCAAACTTACTGATGAAACTTTATTCCATCATCCAGGTTGTTGACGAAGGTGTTGAGCAGTATTGGCCCCACTATCACCCCCTGGAGTGTAATGCTAGTGACTTATTCCCTAGTGGGTTTGGTGCAGCTGATCACAAGCCTCTGGGCCCAGCCATTCAGACAGGTTTCAGTCCACCTCACTGTCCACTTATCTAACCTGTGCGTTGTCAGCTGGTTTATGAGGATGCTATAAGGAGACTGTGATAAAAACCTTACTAGAGTCAGGATAAGCAACATCCCCTGGTCTTCCCTTAGCCACTAGGCTCGTCAGTTCACTGAAGAAGGCTATCAGGGTGGATAAGCAGGATTTCCCCTTTATAGATCCATACTGACAACTCTCAGTCATCTTCTTTTCCTTCATGAGTTTGGAAATGGTTTCCAGAGGTAGTTGCTCCATCACCTTCCCAAAGACTGAGATTAAGGCTAGCCAAGCCTGCAGTTCCCCGGATCATCCTTCATGTACTTCTTGAAGACAGGAGTGATGCTTGCTCCCTTCCAGTCTTCAGGAATCTCTCCCCATCGTTGTGACCTTTTAAAGCTTATTGCAAGTGGCCTTCCAGTGGTATCAGCCAGCTTCCTCAGTTCTTGTGGTTGCAACCTGTCCGGCCCCACTGGACTTGCATATGTCCACTTTGTTTGTGTGCTCCTTTGCTGGGTCCTCCTCAACTGAGGGTAAGTCTTCCTTGATCTAGATTTTTCCTGTGTTCTCAGGGGCTTGAGGTTCCCAAAGGCCTGTCTTACTGATAAAGACTGAAGCGAAGAATGAATACTCCAGTTTTCCATCAGTTTGGTGTTTAAGTGCACACTGATGGTGTGTATAGTCACAGAGAACACTTGGCTAGATGTATCTGATTAACACTGTGGAATGTAAACCAACTTGGAACAGATGGGTTGTCTCGCCCCACTCCAGTGGACGGTTGAGAGAGGTTTTTTGTGATTCCCCAATGTCTTGGGTCAGGGCCACCACCACTGGGTTGAGTCCGTCCATCCCCACCCCTGCCTGCCTTCCCTCTCCTGGTAAGATGGGGAAGGATAAGAAAAGTGGAACCTCGTGAGTTGAGATAACGACAGATTTTTAATAACACAACATGAGGAGGAAAAAAAAGGAGAATATAATAATAAGATATAGAATACAATGAAAACACGGATCCAATGGAAACCTCACCACCAAGAGCTTCACAAAAAGAGAGCCCCTCTCCCGGCTAACTCCCCCTTATATCTCGGGCATGATGTCAGCATGGTATCAAATATCCCTTTGGCCAGCTGCTGGGAAGATTTAACCCGATCCCAGCTGGACCCAGGACACCCGAAAAGGAGCACTGGCTAGGTGGAGTCAGACAATGACTCGAGGAATGATACAACACGATTTTATTGACTTCAGCAACTGCAAAAATATTACAAATCAACTCCTCCGAGGCAAGCACCAAGTCACACTCATCAGTTATCACCAAACATCACTCATCTATTAAGCAAGCACCAAATAACGCTCCGTCGTTATTTGAGACAAACATCAGACAGAAGGCAGAGTAGGAAAGAGTTGAAAAGTAAGAAAGAGGGGCAGAAAGTCAGAGAGACAGACACACAAACACAGAAAATATCACCAACCCCTTGTTCCAGCACGTGTCTTCTCTTCAGGCAGAAGTCTTAATTTCAAGCAGAAACTCCTTGCATGGGGTGGTGACAGGGCAACAGGGAGTAAAGTTCGGGCTTCACCTTTTATACAGTTGGTTGAGGGTGGGGGTGCCCAGCATCCAGGTCACCTTCTGGGTTGACCTTTGGGGGTGCAACAGCCTCGCATCCAAGTTGCCTTGGGGAGGTGGAGGGGGGGGCAGCTGGTTCTCCACCAGGGAGACGACTCCAGCCCCTGGCACCCATGCCCACCTCAACAGTGTGTCTGTCACTCAGAACATGAACAACTCGCTAATGTTCATTCACAAAAGAACTTTGCTTCCAACATGCTCTGCCTGGGCTGTTCCGAGACACGGTGGCTCTGCCCAAGCACTCCTGGTGGAGTCTCTTCTTTAGAAAATGCTCTGCCCATTGTTTGAGACAGAAACATGGATAAACAACATCATCTGGAAGGGGATGGGTAGGGGTCCAGGCCGTGACACGGGTCTGTTCTCATCTTTAATGACAGATAATGTGTGTGCCCTGGAGAGCTGATCAAACAGTTTGAGTGGCCCAATTCAGTGACCTTTATTCCCTCTGCTGTTTGTCCCACTGGATGTTTTGTTGTGAAATAGAATGTCACTGTTCAAGCAAACAAAACCTGTTCTTCATAGGCCTGTTAAGAGAAAAACATATTGTTCTAGAAACACTTCTTTCAGTACAAGGTCCATAAAAATGTTTGGTTTTTTTGACTTTGCCTCTTCGTTTGTTTCCTTTGCTGCAGAATCTCGAAGTTACATGAAAGCCATTAACCACTCTATGGTGATGTCTGACAGCACTGTGGGCACTAACCGTGCTTTGCTGAGGGCCAACATGCAGGCGGATACCTCCTTTCAGCGCTGTTTTGCATCTTCGTGTACTGTTTCAAATAACAGCCCTATCCGAGGGGGAGAAAGGTAGGAAAAGATTCTCCTACGTTATTGTTCAATTTCCATAAACTATAGTTTCTAGCCCAGATGTTATGCTTGCATCTTCATTGCAGAGCATTTGTCCAAGGGCTTCGAGTTTGGTTGTAACATTTAATGATGATGTTGTCCGCTAGCTGGAATTTACCACGTATGCAGACGTTATTTATGTCAGGGACACAATTAGCTTTGAAGATAAAATAGGAATACAAAAATAAACAGGAATTTATAGCTCAATTACTTTATTATGTGCTAGTACAAGCTCATACATATTTTTCTCTGTGCTTAACCAGCCTCTCTAATGCTTGACTGAAAATCATTTTGTGAAATTTCACATTGGAATAAGTTGTATTTGAGAGAGAAAGAGCAATGTTCTCACTGCTGTACACGCGTTTCTAGTCAGTACAATATCAGAGGATTTGGATTTGGTAGTGAATGGTTGACTCTCTTTCAGCTGCTCAGGAGGCTGAAAGATTTCATATTTGTATTGTGGGAGCCATGTAGAGCTCTGGACCAGAGCTTGAAGAGTACAAATTAAATTGTCCTTGTTCCAAGGAACTTAACAGCATAAGATGTAAAATAGTGGGAAACATGGTGTCCCAGGTTACTGGTAGAAGGTTCAGAAGACCATGACAATGAATGGTCAGTCATTATCTGTGCCCTATATTTGCTTAATAGATGAGGGTTTTTATTACAGGTGATTAGATTTCCTTCTCTGTCCCTCTGCAACAACATTCCTATGTGGCTAATTATCCTATTCTTGTCCTTGGATAATTGGCTTCCTTTTCACAGTAAGTATTGGGAATTCTGTTGGTTGGGGTGTCAGACTCTCAGTGAGCACTTCTAGTATGTTGATACCTATTTATCTTTTGTTTCTCTTCCCATCTAATTGATTTCAATTTCAATCAGTACTTGGACTGTGAAACAATTTTCTGAATGTGAATCATAAGACTAAACAAAGTATGTCAGTATTTTCTGAGGAGGAAGGAATGTAACATTTCATTTATAAGTGGATATGAATTAAAAGCTTACCAGGCAGCGCGGTCATTATCGACTTTACATTCCTACTTCAAACTTTATCTAGAAAATTTTGTTCCCTTCTTATTAAATATTTTGCTGTATTTTTTCATTCCATCTAGCAGATAGCTACAGCTGTGGAGTTTTTTTCCTTGCAATGATGTCATCTTCCATTTGCTTTCTTTCCATTTCTTTATGACCCTTCTACTTTGATCTGTTCAAATGTATCCATTTCCACAGTTCCCTTTTAATTAAAAATACTTTTTTTAAATATGTATCTTATGTCAGCTCTTTTCCTTTTGCATCTCACTACGAGTTTGTTCTCTCTGCATTTGATATTGCTGGTAATGTTTTCCAGCTATGGTCCAAGGCGTTTCATTTTTAGAAGCAAAGAGACAATTAAACTATCAGATGGTTTAGTCAGAAGCTTGGTTTGTCTTGTTTAGAATGAGATTTGTTATTCTTCACTTGAGCAGGTAGAATTGCTACCCAGTAGAAAAATCTAATGTTTACTGTTGAAATATTTAATTCTATCAATCAAAATTATTATATAACAAAATAAATTAACCACTGGACCTGCCTCCCTTCCTTTTTTTAATTTAAAGTGCATTAAAAGGGACCTGGTCTAAGAGTTGGGTCTTGTGGACTGTATTCTTATCATAGTGAATGAGGTGATTCAGTGCTTTCAGTGATCACAGAATCATAGAATCATGAAGGTTGGAAAAGACCTCAAGGATCATCAAGTCCAACCGTCAACCCAGCACCACCTAACTCATTAAATCATGTCCCCAAGCACCACATCTACACGTTTCTTGAACCCCTCCAGGGATGGTGACTCCACCACTGCCCTGGGCAGCCTGTTCCAATGCCGGAGCACTCTTGCAGTGAAGACATTTTTTCTAATATCCAGCCTGGATCGCTACAGTATGGGTTGTAGAGTGACATTTTAAGGGAATTATTTGTATATTGTTTTCTTTTTGTGTTCAATTTTTGGTGGTTTTTTTTGACAGCTCTTCTGGAACAGAACATCCTTGGCTTGAAAGCAGCAGCGCTAAAGCTTCCCCATCGCTCCAGCTTTCAATGGGAAACCACAGGCCACCGGGAGGTTACCTTGTGCCTTCTGAATTTTCAAATGCCATGCAAGATGTCTCTCTCTTGTCTCATTTCCAAACTCCAGGACTGCAAGTTGTCACTCTGAGCAGCCTGGAGAATTCACCAGCAGAGCAAGAACCTGCTGTCAGCAGCAGTACCCGAGCTTACCTGAGCTACGGCGGGGGCAACGTGGGCAGTACCCCCCCACAAGAGGAGAAACAAGCTACTTTCATAGCCAATACTAGGATCTCTCCTAAAACCATGAGCTCATCTGTGGCAAGTGCCGAGGACAATGGCTTTTTGACACAAAACTTTCTTACAGTGGCCTCTGGACACAGTAACCAGAACAGTGCGGTTTTTTTTTTATGGAGGGAACCTCCATGCTCAGCCACCTCTCCCAGAGAAAAAGAGGTCTTCTGAAGGAGACCATTCCTTTGCCTCTGTGTCACCTTCTTCAAGTGGCTTCTCTAGCCCTCACAGTGGAAGCACAATCAGTATCCCCTTCCCAAATGTCCTCCCAGATTTCTCAAAAATGTTAAGCACTTCCCCAGTGCCAGGTAGGTTCTGCGTCAGAGAAGTGCAAAATACATTTGACTTTATATAAGTTTATAAAAAATATTTAGGGGATTTTAAAAGTGGGGGTTAAAAAAAAAAAAAAACAACCAGTGTAATGAAAATGGCACAGAGGACTTGAATGTTTGCAGTAAGTGGCACAAGTTCACTCAGATGGGTTGTATTATTCAGAGAACAAGGCTGCAGAATTCTTTCTACATGTCAGGCAAGGGCAGCCTAGCTTTTGAACTGCCAAAGCACAAGCGAGCAGTACGGAGCTCAACTTGGTTTGATAAGGGCTGGCTTCTCTCTGCACCTTTCTAAACTTGTGTCAAGAATAGTTAAAAATGTAGATGTGCATTCACTGGTCCCCATTGAGAAGCTTTGTATGTACATTTATAAATGGAAGAGGTTTTCGTATTTTACGGGTTTTGCAAAATGAAACTTGAATACTTTGAGAATCTTACTGTACGGCATTATATTTGCTGGTTCTAAAACAGTTCAGAGTTTCTCTAGATTGTCCTTCTAGTCATGAGGTTTTGCAATAATTAAGGTGATTGAAGGTTGGAAAGAAAAGTAAAAAATGCTTTTGTATTTTAAAAATTTCTTTACCTTTTTTTCCCTTTTATTTCACAGAAAACACAACTGATAAACAGGTGACCGTAAAATTTGTCCAGGACACATCGAAGTTCTGGTATAAGCCAGATATTTCAAGAGAACAAGGTATATCAACTGGTATATATTCTGGCGTATCCATTCACAGAAAAGCTAGTTAGTGAATTCTCCTTAAATTTTTTTTGTTACATATCAGATTTCTAAAAAAAAAATACAAAAAGAAATTGAAAACCTAGAAGTGCCACAGACAGCCTCACTTAATTTGTTTTGTCGAAGGCTGAATTTCAGAGCGGAGGGCAGTTGAGTAGTCCTCAGAAACTATTCAGTGTCTCAGACAAATTACTAGCCTAACTGAGCTAACCACAAAGTAATTTCAATCTGCCAGTGGTAGCTGCTGCAAATATACTTTAGCTGCCGATTCTGAAATGGCAGATGTGCGTGATGCAATGGCAAACAACTGTCTGCTCTCAGAAGCCTTCTGAGTACAGGTGTGCTGCTCTGGCACAGTCTTAGCCATACAAGTAATAGACTGAGAGGTGCTAAGTATTAGAGAATAATTCTTTATCTAGAGGTCATCATAAAATCATCCTCGTCCACCAGTCATTCTGTAGCCTGAATTTCATTGTCAACTGCAAGTGACACACGTTATTTCTTAAAAGTCACAAAGTAACACTCACATGGAACAACATCTTTATGATGTGCAATACAAACACAGTACATCTATATGTAGGTGTGTTATCTGATGAGATGGAGAAAGCTTTTACTATGTATGTGAACATGTATATGTATGAACCTATACCTTGTCCCTGCAACAATGTGTAAATAAAGCATGCTGGGTGCTTTGCAAATGCAGTTGGTCTGATGGTCCTTGTGTCCATATTGTAATATTCATCTCTACTGAATTTTATTTAATGAGTTACGGCAGGATTTTAAACTGGGATTCTTAAAATCTGGTTGGCAAAAAAGAAAAATGACAAATTAGTTCTGCATTGGGAAAGAAGTTCACGCTAAGCCAAAATAGCCTTCAGCTATTGGCAGACGATGAATTGCTGTGTCTGTCTAGTTCATAGCTTCTCAAATAGTGAGGATGCCTCTTGTAGCGTAGTGGGAAATACAGGCCCAGGGGAATAAAGATCATAGGAAACAGATCGTTAATTCATCTTTGGATGATGTTTTACTGGTCCGTTTGCTCCAGTCCTCTTCCCCTTGTCTACTCCCCACCCGCAATGAGAATTGAGTCTGTAAATGTGCAAAAAAAAAAAATTCCTGACTTCATGCAAGTCCAGAGAGGGGAGCGGATCATAAAGGAAGTTTAAACCTAGCTGCTTGAACAAATGAAAGAAAAATCTTTCCAACGTTTTAGTAGAACTCTTTTTACCCTACCAAGTAAAATTCCTTTTAAAAAGTTTTTTAAGATACGGGTTGCTGAGGAGGGGGAAGCACTTGTTCTTTTTTCCTCTGCTTAATGGCCTGCTCCTTTGAGAAATTCTTACTGCCCCCCTGCGGGTTTAGAAGTGGTACGCAAGTACTGCTGTATTGCAGGGTTTTGTATATTTATCCTCTTCCTCTCAACACTATTGTGTAAATAGTTGTTTTCTTCACTAGTGAAATATTTCAATGTTTGGACGGTTAAAGAGGAAATACTCCTTACATCCCTTCCCAAAACTAGTAAGGGAGCAAGGCTGCTTTGCAGGGCCAGAAACTTGGTGGTGGATGAAAATGAATCTGCTCCGCCTGTTGGAAGCTGCGTAGGAAAGAAGAACAGTGCTGTCATCGCAGAGAGCTGTGCTCTTTCTGTCATCTTCTAACAAGTTGACAAAATGTAGGCAGGAAGCAACTTGCTCTTGGACTGGTTGTAGGAATCCCGGTGGGACCTGCACGTCCTTCTCAGTTTAAAAACCTGTAGGGATCTGTACTTCAGGTTTCTTGTGAAATAAGTGTGTGAGATTTGCACAAGATATTTCTGCTTGGATCCCCCAAATATGCTTGATTACATTCTGTTCTACAGCAATGGAGATGGAGAAAAGGATCTATCTTCCTTTAGTCTCCTATTCGTTATAGATTTGCACTTTATTTTTTGGATGTGTGTGTGTGTGCATTGTTCTGGAACTGTTTTTCTTTCTTTTTTCCTGGAATCCCTTGCAGCCATTGCTGTTCTCAAGGACAAGGAACCTGGGTCATTCATTGTTCGAGACAGTCATTCTTTCCGGGGAGCCTATGGGCTAGCAATGAAAGTTGCTACACCACCTCCTTCTGTGTTGCAGTTAAACAAGAAAGGTAGTGTATGCCTTCTGCCTATTATTTAAACAAGAAAATTCTTATTGCTGGGTAATAATCTGGAGGAATCTCGCCTCTTCTGCTAAGTGCAGCTTGAATTACGGGCTCCATTCGGTATCTTGTTCAGTGAGACCAGCTAAGAAGTCTGTTGTACTCTACAGTTCCACTGTAGCTTGGAAGTGGGTGTTCATTGTGACTACGCACATATTGTACCTTATCAGCCTAACAGAAAACCAGCGTCATCTCAGTAATGGGTCTCCCCTAGCAGTCACAAGTCTGCATTTGATCCACATACCACCATGGAAAGCTTTCACTTGGCAGGAAGGTTGAATATTTTTGACCCCCAGAGGTTTTGTTTTGAGACAGTTCTACATTAGATATAAATCAGAGGAGGTTCCTAAGGAAAGATGATAGCTGTTTAAAAGACAGGGTGAAATACATCTCTGCTCAGCTCCAGTGCCTCCATGTATAGCTTGTGCCTGATATAAAGGTAAAATGAGAAGAACGTACGGAAAGCATTAATCAATGCATGGAAACTCAGCAGCCAGTATCTGCAGTGTTCTTGGCTCCATTTGTGCTACTGCAAGGGTAGTGGGTTGGTTTTCCTTGCTGCTGTTTTCCTTTTACAAAGCTTATTATGTTTCATTAGTACGTGCCACCTGGTGAGGTAAGCAACTGAGATCACCAGAAAGCAGTGATTCTGAGTGTCATGGTTATAGAACTGTGGTTTTTGTCTGGTTTTGGTAGTTGGTTGGTTGGCTGCTGGTTTGGTTTTGATTGTAGTTTTTTTCATATTTTTAAGATTTCCTGCTTACTCTGGGGCAAGGTTAGCAGTCCAACCTCTATTCCAATAACATGTTCCAATTTTGTACACTTCATCTGGTATTTTGAGACTATTTCTAATAAAAATTTGTTAAGGTTTGAATGGTTGGATAGCTTTGTCCCATTGCTATGAAATAACCCTTTAATTACTTGGAGAGAGATTCAGTTTGTAGTCCGGTGTGAAATACTGCGAACCAGTCTTTCAAGAAATAATGAAGGTGGTCTTAAGTATATGTGTGCATATGTATCTAGATGTTTAAAAGAATTTTAAATCTCAAGGGAATTTTTAGATGCCTCTTGGACTTTGAATCTCCTCATTACATCCAACTTAACAATTTTGATTTTTCATAGATTCCTGAGAGATAAAAACTATCTTTAAAAATCTAGTGAAACCTGAGTGTTCAATGGAATTGTTTGTTTTCAGAAGCAAAGGCTTAACATAAAACTGCAAATATTTTAAAATGCACTGAGAGACTGGGCATCATTCCCTTCTATAGTTTTAATCTGGAAAAGTTCTGCGAGCAGATCTATCGCTAGACATCTTAGTATTTTATCATCCTTTTACTGCCCTGTCACATTGGATACAAGTTCTTCAAATGGGCAAGTGCGTCAGAATTTGTAATCATTCGTTTTTCCAAATTTCTGTTCCTGTCCGTAGTTGTGACCATGCCTGGACATTTTGTATGCCAGTATATATTTGGATGTCGGTCACTTATGATTATAAAACCTTTTCCACTGGTTGTCTAAAGTAAGTTATTTGTTTGGGGTTTCTTTGCAGAAAGGCCTTTTTACTACAGCTTGTAAACTTGCAGCAGAGCAGATTTCATGTATTCTTTACATGCTGTGTGCATTTGGTGGTAATGTGGAAAACTACTTCACAAAGCCCTGCTCCTCTGTGAGACTGTTGTCTGTTCATTGCTTCTCTTCATGAACTTTCTTTTTCTTTTTTCAACACAGCTGGAGATCTGTCAAATGAACTCGTAAGACATTTTCTGATTGAATGCACTCACAAGGGGGTGCGCTTGAAAGGATGCCCAAATGAACCGTATTTTGGTAAGTACTGTGCATCACTGGAACACAGACATTGGAATCAGTTTGCATTTTGCAGAGCTGTTTTATAGACTTAGATGGAGTACAAATGAGAGAATACTTTGCTCAAGTCCTGATGATTTCTGTAGGAACCCCTTCTAAGGTTATAGGAGCCTTATAGCCTACCTATCTGCTCGCTCCGTGGGGCAGGAGGGGAAAATAAGATGAGAAGGCTCATGGGTCAAGATAAAGACAGAGAGGTTGCTAACCAGTTACTACTGTGGGCAAAGGAGACTGAGCTTGGGGAAAATTAATTTTTTTGACAATGAACACCAATATTCAGGTAGTAACAAACAAAGACAAACATTCAAATAACAGTTTTCCCTCCCCTTTTGCCAAGCTCAGCTTCACTCCTTCCCCCCCCAGACTCCTCAACCCCACCGCAGGCAGTGCAGGAGGGGGTGGGAGGCATATTGTCATCACAGAACAGTTTCTGTCTGCTGCTCCATCCCTCTCTCACTTTTTTCCCTGCTGAGGTGTGGGCTTTCCCCATGGGCTGCCCTCCTTCAGGAAACATCCATCTGCTCCATTGTGAGGTTCTCCACAGGCTGTAGGATGGGGGATGGCAGCTTGGGTGACTGAAGCACCTTCTCCTCCTCCTCCTCCTCTGAACATGGTGTTCCCTCTGCTGTGTCCCACCCCCTGCTGCCAGCCTTGTCACATACACCCAATATACCTGTGAAAGGGTCATCTACTGTAAAATGAACAAGTGTAAAATGACAAATCCTGTTTGCAGTAAAGGTGGGTTGAATTTTGTCAGTGTTTGGCATGAGGCTTATTTCAAATCAGAATTTTTAGCCCAGTCCTACCTTGATCTCGAAGTACCTGTTTCCGGCACCTGTGTAACCCTACTAATCACTTAGTTTGAGCATCTCCTGATCTTTCAGTGTATGCAACCTCAAAACTACTCACAGAGTAGGTAGGCAGGCACTATCACACACTTGTATGGATAAAATAGTATAAATTGGTCTTTGCATTTCTGTAAGACCCTTGCAGAGTTGGGTCATCTTTCCATTTTAAAGAAATTTTTGATCGGCCGTGAAAATGAGGTTGGTTTTGGTTGAACTGGGATCTTTTTCTCAAACATATGGTTATGATGTTCAATGTTTGTTAATAAATGGGAGCAAAGGATGGTTTTTGTGCAAACAGACTGATGAATGTTATGCCTTCGTCTCACTCCTTAGAGTGCAGTCTCACATGCTAATGTCAAGGATGACTAATATTTAATTATTTTAATTAAGTCCAAATGACACAGGTGACTTTGAATAGAAAAGAATTATTTAATAGAGAATGCTACATAGATTGCTGACACATTGAACGAAGGAGGTTTTATCTAGACCATCTTTTATACTTTAATAAGTACAAAATAGAGATGCAGGTAAACAAAGCACTTGACAGTGGGGACTAGGTGGCTAAGAGGCAGAGCTCCTTGCTCTTTCTCTGCGTCATCACATAGCACTGACCCCTTGTGCTCCTATCATCATATGAAGGAGCAGGAGTTAAGAGCCTTGAAAGGAATTTACCAGCTTGCATATGTTATTGTTTTTTGTCATTTTTGTGCTTTCTCCATTTAAAGCAAAGCCATTTAGGTTAGGATTTCAGCACTGTGTTGAAGCAAGGAAGGGGAGCAGATGATTGGGATTAATGAGTTCAAGTACATCCAACTGGGACAGTGCTGGGAAACATGAATGCACTAAAGTTGACTGAAGAAGGTCTTGGCTTAGGTGCCAAGAGGATGTTTTTAAAGGGTGCGGTGGGGGGGCCTGTTGGTCTATAAAGTACTTGAGAGCCAACATAACTCTTAAGCATTCTTGTTGTCCACCAAGTTAACTGTGCATGTACCCTTCTGACCGCAGGGAGTTTGACGGCTCTGGTGTATCAGCATTCCATCACTCCACTGGCATTGCCCTGCAAGCTCCTCATCCCAGACAGAGGTATGCTTGTTAACGTATAACCCAGCCAAGCTCTGCTTCAAAGTGCCAGTGTCTGAAGGCAGATGAACATGCCAAAAGTTGAGATGTGCAGGAAAGGAAGCTGTGTTTTAAAAGTGGTTTTTCAGTCCTGCTGACAGCTCTTACCCAAGCTGTAGTTGTGAGCAGACTAATACTGTGATATTCCAGCTGGAAACTTCTATGCGTCATGGAAATCCACGCTGTGATCTAGCATGTAGAAAGACAAATGGACTTCTCAGACATTAAATTATGGTTTTGTACTGAACTCTTTACAGTTTTGTTGAAGGCCGTGTCAGTGGTCAAACATAGGATTTGAATTATGCAGATACATTCATGAAACTATTTTAACACAAAACCGTGCAATGGTAGATGTGACCTCAGCTCTCTTTATATGGCAAACCAGTGTGGTAGGTGGGCTTGTTCTCCTTATCCTCCTCACGTAAAATGGAAAGCTCCTTCTGTTCTGGCAGAGGTGCGGGACTGAAACATTTGCCTTGTCCTGAAAAACATAACCACAGTGAGATTGTATTCTAGATTTAGTTTTGAATCTGATATGATTACACATTTTAAGAGTATCTTCTGTGGTTAATGATTCTGGACACAGTGCGTGGAGTATTTAAAGTATATGGATAACTCTAAACATGGTGTCATACATCGTATTACTGCTCTCTTCCTCATTTGAATGTATTCAAAGACAGCGTGCATCATATTAAATATAGCAGTGGGATCTTTTTACACGCGTTTATATCACTGCAGTAACACACTGATGGGCAGTTTGCTGACTGTTTTTAACAGAGAGTGGGAGGCAAACATTCCACTGCTATTTTAATAGTTCAGATGTTTGTTTTCTAGCCAAGTATGAAGAAGGAAGGGTTACATTGTCATCTTCTGAATCAAATTTGCTGTTACAAAAGTTAAACTCATACTTGATCGTGTGCATTGATTTGTTGATTTAAGTCCAAACAAGACGTGGACAGTGTTTTCTGTTTGCAGATCCCTTGGAGGAGATAGCAGAAACTTCTCCACAAACTGCTGCAAACTCAGCAGCGGAGCTTCTCAAACAGGGTGCAGGTCTGTTAAATTTTTTCCTTGCATTTGACTGTGACCAAATTTTGCATCTTACAGGCGGGGAGAAACTGAAGCTGAAGGATGTTTAAAGGGAGCAGTTAAATTTAGAGTGCTGTGTAGAACTATAAAGGGCACTGTGAGGATATGTACCAAGTTCCTTCCGTTTTCTGCAACTGGCTCCTAAGTTCGACAACCCTGTGTTTGCTTTCCAGTCATGTCTCCCATGAGAATATGAGGTACACATCGGTTGGTTCGAGCACAGCAGTTTTTAAGCAGTGACATTGCTTTCATAACTGATGAACTTAGAGAAGATACTTTGAACCTGTGGTTGCAGAGGTTCATGAACTATGTCAGAGGTCTGCAAAAGGCAACTAAAGAAAGTGTTCAGTAGGGTTGAATTCTCAGCATAGGGGTCAACAATACCACTGGAAAATTCTTACTGTCCCATTAATCTGAAAAAAAAAAATTTAAAAAAATTGCCCTGCGCTTCACTTGATGCTGCATGTTGTTAGGAAATGTCCAGTATTTTTTCCACTTCATGCTGTTTTATGGGTTCTCATGCACACTGCAGCACCCATTATGGTAGGTCAAATTGTATTACCGTGAGCTTATTGATGGGACACAAGAACCCTGTCAAGATTACCTCCAAATTATGTGATGCTATGCATTGGTCCTGTCTGTATCACTTTCAAATAGAGGCATTTGCAGCAGCTGTGTAGAGACACGCGCTGCTTCTCATAGTCTTAAGGGGTAACACTTAGGACATCTTAACCCTGTCCTTAGTGGCGATGCAGCCACTGTGCTATTCCCTTATACAGTAGTGATGCTCAGGGATCCTGCCCGCACCCTCCTATGTTCCCTGGTTTTCAGGCTGCTATGAATTCTCTCCAGGATCTCTCTGTCTACCTGATTAGTCCCATTAGAGCAGGAGAATATACTACATTTACCACTGTCCTTTGAGATTAGCTTACCGCTGGGAGGCACAAGCAAAAGTGTTGTGGCCAAGCAAGCCTTTAGAAGCATGCTGCCTCGTTGCCTTCACCCATTTTAGGGCACTTCTCAAGGGGGTAGTTGTCAAGCTGAGTAGCTCTGGAGGGAGAGTGTTGCTCCTTGCAATCTGCTTTGACTTAAAAAATTTGAAGTACCTCTTCAAGCGCTTTTGAATGTGTGGCTGAGGCAAGGGCAAGCCTTTGCAAGGCTGAGCCAGGAGCGAGCACGCGTTGGTCTTTCTCTCTGGCAGTGCTGGTGGTGGTTGTTGTGGGCAACAGGGGAAACTTTCCTGCTTGAAAACCCAGCAAGGGTATGTGTTGTCTTTTGAGAAATGTTAGTTTCTCCTTGCTCAGGTGATGCTTTTCAAAGAAAAATAAATAATTGTTATTTCAATTGGTGCAGTAGTCAGGTAACTCCTTATGGGGGCTGTCACATCATGGGTCATATGGGGAACTTAGTACATTTGGTTTTTCCTTGTTTTGTTGTTGATGTTTGTGTTTTTAAACAAGGGGTTGGAACCTGAATAGGTAAATTAACTAGGATAGATTCTCAGAGGGGGGTTTTTTTTGCCTTAATACATCATTTCCCACTGATTTTCTGTGTTTCAGAGGTCCCTCTCCAGTCACAGAGACATTCAAGTTGTGGAGTTTGAAATGCACTTCACTGAACGCTGAAGTGCAGACCCAAAACATGTTTCTTTTCTAACTATCTGAGCTTGTGTGGGCACCTGCAGTTTAGTCAAAGTAGATGTATTTTTTCCCTGCCCTGCTTTACCCCACCCTTCTCCCACTTCACAAGCAAAAAAAAAAATGAAGATGCATTTTCCAAGAATGATCATTTTTTTCTAGCTGTCTGAAAAAATTTAGTGAGCATTTCCAGTCATTATCTAAATGTAGAAGCTGACCAGAAATCCTTTGCTTCCTAGAGAGTGACTAGAAACTCTACAGATAAGTGACTTTTCCCTAGAACAGATGTTGCTTTATTGACCTTCCTATTTGGCAGCAAAAATTTCTGACGTAAATAGATCCCAGTTCTTCATATCTGTTTCCACTAATACAGTCAGGGACTAAGCATTCTGAACAAAGCACATTCCCTGTCTAAAAGCAGCAGGGATTACTTGAAATGGCCGTACCATGTGGCTGTTGGTGGTACCACGGATGTCACTACAAAATGCCACCTGTGGAAGGCAAGAGCAGCAACACTGCAGGGCAGCTGCACTGCACAAAAGTCACAAGTTCGAGCCTTGAGGATGGTTTCTGTGGGATTGCTGTCATTCAATACCCCATCAGACCATGCATGGTGTTCTTAAATAAAAAAATCTTTCAGCCTTTCTCGTTACCTTTCCTTTCCTGTAATCTCCTTTTTAAGCTGATATATTTGCATTTCCCCACAGTTTTGAAAAAGGTTCCATTTATTATTTTTTTTGTGCTGCAGAAATAATCTACTGTATTTGTTGACTGCTTTTGAACTATCACATTGAGGGCAATCTGGACAAAATGCTTGGCTATTTCATTTGGAAACAAAACCTGAACACAGTCTGTTGACACCAATGCCATGTGTGGCAGAAGAGGAAGGGCAACCCTTCATCTGGGTCTCAGAAGTGGTGAGGAGTGTGATTGTGAAACGAGGCAACCTTCCCATAGTGGGAAAGACTGACAGGATAATGAAGAGCTTTAGGTCTATACCAAACAGAATCACAGAATGGTTTGGGTTGGAAAGGACCTTAAAGATCATTGAGTTCCCCCGCCTGCCATGGGCAGGGACACCTCCCACCAGCCCAGGTTGCTCAAAGCCTCATCCAGCCTGGCCTTGGAGCCCTCCAGGGATGGGGCATCCACAGCTTCTCTGGGCAACCTGGGCCACTCCCAGTCGCTGCCTTTGCCTTCTGTGAGTTGGGCAGTGTGGCTTGAGCTCTTGCCAGTGAAGACTGAGGTAAAGAAGTCGTTAAGTACCTCAGCCTTCTCCATATCCTGGGTAACCGCATCTCCTGCTTTCTTCCGGAGGGTGCCCACATTTTCCCTGGTCCTCCTTTTGTCGCTGACATACCTATAGAAGTTCTTCCTGTTACCCTTAACGTCCTTGGCCAGATTTAATTCTATCGGGGCTTTAGCTTTCCTCACCTGATCCCTGACTTCTCGGACAGTGTCTCTGTATTGTCCCCAGGCTACCTGTCCTTGCTTCCACCCTCTGTATGCTTCCTTTTTTTGTTTGACTTTGTCCAGGAGTTTAGACTAGACATTAGGAAGAAAATCTTTCCTGTGCAGGTGGTGAGGCAGTGGCCCAGGTTGCCCAGAGAAGGTGTGGATGCCCCATCCCTGGAGGGGTTCAAGGCCAGGCTGGATGAGGCTTTGGGCAACCTGGGCTAGTGGGAGGTGCCCCTGCCCATGGCAGGGGGTGGAACTGGATGATCTTTAAGGTCCTTTCCAACCCAAACCATTCTGTGATTCTAAATCTCCCCTCTTTCAGTTTATAAACCACTCCCCGTTGTCCTATCCCTACACTTCCTGATCACGAGTGCATACACAGTAACGATGTGAGAAGAGGACAGCTTATGTTTTGGAATGTTGTTTACGGTTTTGGATAGACATGACAGAAAGCTGTTCTGCAAGGAAGGCCTCATTGAACTTGCCATTCATCATCTTAAATCCCTCTCTCTGCGTTAATTGTATAGTAATTGATTCAAAGGTTATTGAAACTATCACACCCGTGCACAAATACATTTGGGAAATTCTACACTTGCAAATGAAATTAATAAAATCTGTGGATCCCATCTTTCATTGACAAACTCCAGAGCTTGACGTTACTGGGTTGATCATCATGCTGGAATCAAACTTAAGCTTATGCATTCTTTAACTGTATGATTGCTTTATGGTTTCGAAAGTGCCAATGTCTAGGTGTGTATTTTACGTAGATAGTCAGAGGAGAAAACTTTAGTCAGATTACAGAATAGCCATATGGAAAGAGAAGCTGTTAGATTTAATGTCATCTTTGCTTTCATAGTAGGGTTGGCAAGCCCAGCTAAACTGCTAAACAAATGAAATATTAGCATGGTAATTTGCATTTGTCAGCTGACAGAGTTGTAAATTCTGTCCTAGATACCTACACAGATGTTTTTACTAAAACACAAAGTCTTTTAGTACCAGTATTTAGCTATGGATGTGTTTAAGCATTCTTGCTTATGCTGTAGAATAAGACTAAGAGGGCTTTTCAGTTTCAAAAATGTTCTTAATCTTCATGTAAATTTGACTTTGTACCACAGTCCCAAAGTATTTAAGCATGTGAATAATTATATTAATACTATGTAACAGTAATAATAATATTTAGTTAATATTGTAACCATGTAGTACTATGTTATTACAGAGTACTATAGTACTGTTATATAATGTTTTGTAATATTAGTACTTCTTTTCCTAGTGCTTGCTGCAGATTTGATGTGAGACCAGATGAAAAAAATTAACTGTTCAATAGCCTTAGAAACCGATGAGCTTCTATTTTATAGAGATACTTCAGAAGTTAGTAATATCTCTAGGAGAGGAAGAGGGCTTTAAAAATCAAGTGCATGCTGAGGTAAAGTATAGACCTAAAAACACATAAGTCAGTAATTTTTCTCAATCTGGAAGATGTTTTGTGTGCCCTAAACATACAAAACACACAGAATGAATGAGAAGAGAGCTTTGCAGCAACCCTCAATTCTTTATGGGGTGAAAATGTTCTTGTCTTGCCAAACAAGTGAGTGGTTTCCTTCGAATATCCTTTAAATACCACTTGAAAGTGTAGAGCATGTGAAAACGTGCTGCAAAGATGTGTATGTAGTGGCTGCTTTAGTTGAACCTAAAAGCAAAATATCCCCTTTCCCCTCAGGAATGCCTTTGCTGTAGTGACTATGAGTGGCCTCTCTCTCTGCTGCTGTCTTGTATTTATTTACATTTCAGAATCTGTGGGTAATACGTAAATGCATTAATTGGCTTAAATATAAAGGTATTTTAAAAAAAGGGACAGCAAAAGGCCTATGACCTCCAAAATTATAGTCTAAAACTATGAAGCAACACTGGGACGAGGTGAGGCACACATGGAAGGTTTGGTCGTTTGCTGCCGGTCTTCCCTGTTTGCTTTAGAAAGGTGGAAAATTTACATTTTACCTGGTTTTGTTCAGAAGATACCCATTTGCTTGCCACTGAGTAATGACCTCTCAAAGTCTTTCCCCTCTTTCATTACAGCATGTAATGTTTGGTACCTGAATTCGGTGGAGATGGAGTCCCTCACAGGCTACCAAGCAGTACAGAAAGCCTTGAGTCTGACGCTGACGCAAGATCCTTCTCCCATCTCCACCGTTGTCCATTTCAAGGTGTCTGCGCAGGGAATTACGTTGACAGATAATCAAAGAAGGTAAGCAAAAGAGGGAAGAGAATATCTGGCCTTGTCCCCAACAAGTGTTGGCTACTGTTGATTGGATTTTTGTAGTTACGTCCTGCAGCCTCTGTCTCAGAGGATAATACGGATTGTTTAAAGAACGGTGGTGACCAGTGTCAGCTGTCTGCAGTACTGGAGAATGAATTTTTTAACCTATGGACATTGCTTCTACATGGCAGCTTTTACCTCTGGAAGGTCACTTTGCAATGGCATTTTTTTCAGTGTTGTTATTTCTTATAAAAAGGGAAAGTAATGGCTTTGCCACCATTTGTTATTCGACCTATTCAGTGAAATAATTTATCTTCACAGTATCTTTCACCGGTGTCACTGAATAGGGTTGACCTAAGCAGGTACTGTGTATTTCCAGTATTTGAAACAGCGCTTTGGATAGCCTGTAAAATACTATGCTAAAAGTTAATTTATATTTACTTTGTACTGAATGCTATTTAGGCTACCACAAAGTCTTTAGATTTGAAAACTGACAATAACAAAGGAGGACAACAGGAATTCATTATAGGCTTAAAAAAAAAAAGTGCCAGACTTCTTAGTTCCACGGAGTCTGAACGTATTTATAGCAAATCAAGGGCAAAACATTAAATTATAATGCCTAGGAGTGCTTATATTTTGAAACTTAATATAATCAAATTATTCACAACTTCCAAGAAGTTGCATTGCCTACTGGCATAGTATCTAAATGGCCAATTTTTAGAAAAAAATGAATTTCATACTTTTGGTTCTTTTTCTTAGCTTGAGGGTCAGTTTTCTTGTGGTTCAAAAACTTGACATTACTGTTCTAAATATAGTTTTATTTAGTTGGAGCAGTTCAGGTGGCTTTCAGAGTCACTAGCAAAAAGAATATATCGTAATTATTAAATGTAGAGGAAATATAATTTCTCTTTCAGATCTGTTTATTGTTGGAAATTTTAAGCATCTTCACTATTCCTAAAACTTGGTTTATTTCTTCCTATCCAGACTCTTTTTTCGGCGACATTATCCAGTCAACACTGTTATTTTCTGTGCTTTGGATCCACAGGACAGAAAGTAAGGAAGACAAGCAGTATTTCTAATCTGTTGTTTCTATTGTTGATCTGAAAAAAAAGAGAAAAAAACAAAACTAACAGGGGTTTCATTTTTATTTCTCCATTCCTTTTTTTTTTTTTTTTTTTTTTTACTGCTTTCATCATGGACAACAAGATGGATGAAAGATGGCCTTTCTGCAAAGTAAGTGGACATCTGTCTGTGTCTCTCTTAACTGAACGTTATGGGAATATCATCACGGTGATCAGTTTCTGAGTGCTCTGAATTATCTTTGTCAGAGACGTAGAAGGGAAAGGAACTGTTCAAAGTCTCTCTGCCCACTGTAATTAGACTTCAGTTTCTTCATCTGCACCTCTGCAAGACAGGGCCTAATGATGTGCTAGTGGGATGTCTGAAGCCAGAGCTAGAGGGGTTTATTTAGGTTGCAGGTCTGTGATTTGACTCAAGTTTCAGAAATGAAAACAGAGCCATTTCCTACTCAGTTTTGTCTTCCACTTGTCCAGCAACACTTAACACAAGCCTACTTGTCTCACTTACATGGATAGCTTTAAAAAAAAAAAAAACCCACACAGCATGTAGATGAAAACACTCTTGGTAATATTAATGTGTGGCATAAATACAGAATTACCAGTGGACTGCAAAGTATTTTCTGTTGAAGGCAAATGTCATTGTTCCCCTTTTACGAAAAGAAAAAACCTAAACGGAGCTCAAGCACTCGTTTCTGGAAAGAAACAGAAATAGATGGCCAGCTTTGTGCTTTTGATCTGCAGTATCTTTTGATCTGCAGTATCTTTTTTGCTTTATGAAATAAGCCAATACCTGTCTGTCTGTTCTCTAATGCACTGTGATTATTGCCCTTGCAGAGTATTTGGCTTCGTTGCCAGGAAGCAGGGCAGTGCCACAGACAACGTATGCCACTTATTTGCAGAGCATGATCCAGAGCAACCTGCCAGCGCCATTGTGAACTTTGTATCAAAGGTCATGATTGGATCCCAGAAGAAGATCTGATGCCTTTCCATCCTTGAGTCAGAGCTCTTCACTGATCCCACTGAAAGCACTGAGAGGGAGATAACATATTCAGCATCCGAACCTTGTCATGCCCAAGAAAGAAAGCAGAGGACAGTCCATCTGTTGTGTTTGCAAGAGTTCAGCCTTTTCTTTGATGATGCCTCTGACTTACCAAAGCATTAGTTCTTTGTTTTTGTGTCAAAGGACAAAACAAAAGAAGCTGGATGCCACCCAAACCCATGTAGCCCATACCTGAATGAAGCATTATTAAAAAAACGTTTCTCTTGAAGGGTTTCTAATACATTTTCACATGCTGTTTCTCACCTTTTATTGGAGCAGAAATACTCACTAGGCTGTGCTACTTTTTTGTGCAGACAATGTTTTGTATAACCTCCACGTTAACACTTGCCATGGTTGCATCAATGGTAGCTATAGGCCTTCCAAACGTGCTCTTAAGAGAACGATGGTCTGAGGAAGACTATTTGCTCTTCCCTTCATCTTGATCTGATCAGCGATGGGAACTGAATGGAGAAAGGGGAAGATGTATGTGAAGAGAAGGGTTGTGCAAGTTGATTTCTGATAAGAAAGGAGCGGCAACGTGAAATATTCAGGGAGATTGCTCTGTATTTACTCTTAAGAAGGCTGGGCTGGTTTAGTTTAAAAAATTTTAAATAGGGGAGACATGGCAGAACAAAAAAAAAAAGGTTGTGTGGAAATCTATTGTGTAATTGGGGGTTTTGTATTATTTTTTTATGCAGAGAACTAAGCAGGGAATATTCTGTATTTTCATAATTACGATAAAAATGAGGGAAAAGCAAAGGAGAAAAATTTTATAATTTATATATTTTTAGCTGTGCCAGATTATTTATAGTAGATCTCAGATCTTGATATGTCATATGGTTATTCTTAAACTAGACTGTTGTTGAAATCTGCCTCTTTAGCACTATGTTGCAGAAGTAAAAGTGTGTGTAGCCCATGCCTTGCGATAGAAAAGAGTCTCATATTTTGACTTTTGCCTTACAGTGACAAGACACATCCCATTTCCTGTCTCTGCAGTGCTCTTTTGGTAGTAACATTTGTTCCCCTATACTTAATTATACAGAATTACATTTGTGGATTCTTTTGGCCCCCTTTTTATTGGAGTTTTAGGGATTTGGGGGGGGAGCTTTTTTTAATCTGTGAGGAACTATTTTTGATTTATAATGGGTTTTTTTGTAATAATGCCTTGAGTCAGGAAATCCCAAAGGGAATGGAATTTATTTTGTTATTCTGTTCCATTTCTTGAGAGCATTTATGTCATAATTTCTACAACGATCACACTGGTACCTTTCTCTCTAAACACATCTTTTTTTTTTTATTTTAATGCATAACAAAGTGCTGGTAAGCTTTACAGACAATTGATACAGTAGGTTACAGTGGGAACGTTCCCAGGGAAGGTAAGCTGCTGAGGTCTACTGTGTAATTCCCATTCACTCCAAAAAGAGCAGTACTAGACCCCCATATCAAAACTGACGGTAACATAGCAGCTGCAGTGTGACAGTGCCAAAAAGCTTCATTGCCTCTACTTCTTTGATGTGTGGCTGTCAACATTGTATTAATAATAGGAGAAATAAAATGACATGCTGAATTCAGCATGCCAATGCATGAGGTAGAGGATTGACTAGTAACTGTACCCACTTGGAGGATTTAATCCTTTTATCCACTCTTACTAAATAACGGTTAAATGGAATGAGAAACTGTGGTTGGGCTATACAGTAAGAAGGTTGAACCAATTAGAACGATATTTGTCCTGTAAAAATTATGATCTGTTTTTTATTGACAGCTCTCTTCCTATCCTGAAGTATTAGGACCATGGAAACCTTATTCAGTGACCATTGCCAGAAGTGTTACCAAATTATTTCTGTAACTATGAATTTAGTATAAATAACTTTATACCTTTGAAAAGGAAGGGAGAGGGGAGGAGAGGCGGAGAGAAGAAATATTTGAAGTTTAATGTGTTCGGACCAAGAAGTGGCGTATTAGTAGCAGTGGGCATTGGATGTGTGTAGAAGGGTGAAGCAATCCAGAGCAGAGTAGCTACCATTGAAGCAACGAAGGCAAGTGCCTCTGATTTGTACGAAATAATTCTGTTCTTCTGACACGGATGCCTACTACTTAAACAGTGTTTGTATACCATCCAAAAAGAATGCAGTTCGTGTTTTTAGGAACTTTGATCCTTTAGAAACATGTGAGAACGAGTTTCCTTTTAATATTCTTTTCATGCACCAAGAACCCAGTTGCTTAATCTAGTCAGCCAGTTGGAGCCCAGGGAATTTCTTTAGCTGACATCTCAATTAGATTTAAATCTGATGTGTTGTGAGTATTGAAATGTGGAGGAAATTTTTACTACATTTTTCACTTCTGTAGATGATACTTAAATTTTAGTGTGTCTTGTTAGACACCAAGGGTTGGCCTTTGGGCTGGAAATAAAGTGTCTTCTTTTTTTTTCTGCATGTGTTATCATTTCCATTCAGGGCCTTATTTTTTTATTCCTTGTGCTTTCTCAAGGCCTGGGAATTCCAAGAGCATCAGGCACTGAATGCTGACACTCCTGGTGGTGTTTCCTGGGAGTTCAGCTCTACTTGGTAAGTGGGAAGAAGTTGTCCTGTTTCTAAGGGAGGTTTTCTATCATGCATTCCTTTGGATGGTGTATTGCCACGTTCTTTTGCTTTTTAATGAATTAAAAAAATTCACAAAGCAAAATAGTTCCGTATGTACCATTGTGTAGTGTATGTAGAAAGATATTCACAAAATTTGTGTTCATGGCAAATACAGCACTTTCTTTCAAGATTTTTGGTAGGTGTGTATATGCAGTTTCATAACTAATGGCAGCAAGTTGACACATATATTTAGCCAGACTCCTATTAACTTGCTTAGTAAATGTACTACTATAATCATACAGTGTTAAACTACGAAAATGCTAAAAGCCATGTTTTTAATTAAATGGTTTCTGTGTATCCAACAGTATCATTAAAAAGTTAATCCTTCTTGGAGTGACGTAGTAGTGAAAATTTTTGCCTTTTCTTGAAACTGTAAAGCATCAAAAGGTCTACAGTATGTAAATGAATGTTCTATAAATTCTTTGTATAGTCATTTTCTCTGCTTTTCAGATATCTTCTCTATTCAGATTATAATAAAATTAAGAATGTGAAATTTCACAACACAATGTTACAGGGCAGTCTGTTCTGAAAGAAACTTACCTTCTGGCATTCAAAACCAGCTAATAAGCAAAACCTTCTTGGTGAGGTAAGACCAGGCTGCATGCTGAAATACAGGGGTTTAGTTTTGTTTCTTAAAGATTTCTTTAAAGGACTTCATATGAGTCTGTCTTAGTGGTTCAAGTCTAGTTAAAGCATATGATTTTCCTAGTTCATTTGCAGTTATAATGGTCTAAAAGTGCCTTTTGCCTACATTGCACGTTTCAGTGTAAGGAGGAAGAATATCTGATACCATGTCACATTCTGAGATGTCTGTACCCTTCTATAGAATCACAGAATGGTTTGGGTTGGAGGGGACCTCAAAGATCATCTAATTCCAATCCCCTGCCATGCACCTTCCACTAGATCAGCTTGCTCAAAGCCTCATCCGTTAGCATCCATTTAACTGTGCCTCCATAGTGACGGCATGGAAAAACTTCCAGAGGAGCATGAGGGGGTTGAGAAACTTAACCTCTGGTTCAAATAGCTCTCCGAGTACAAAATGTGTGCATCAGCCACCCATTGATGATTGAATTATAGACATGCTTTATTGTGATTATTTCTGAGACTGATAAAACTCTGCTGGATCGTGATGCCTCTTCTATGAGGTGCAAGCTGGCAGGAATTTTGCATTCAGTGTGCTTGACTGTCATTCAGCACTAAAGGCTGTTGGGAGGTTTATCTGTGGGCATAATACGCAACAGAATTATTCATGAAAAGTATTCATCTTTTATTGGCAAGGATGCAACTCTGTGTCCAGTCTCCTATTAAACTCTTGAACTCAGATTGTTCTGTGTGTGTGTGTCCTGCTATTACTCCTCTTTGAAGGCTGCTCTGGGGTCTCTGCTGCAGTGGATTCAAATCTGCTTTCAGTGTTCACATCCTGAATGTATTCACAGCTAGTTTGTATGCGGTTGTTCTTATGCCAGCATTGTCTCTTAGCGTGAATAACTGTTTTCTCTCTGAGGTATTTATAGCAAGAGATCTGATCCCCCTTGTGTCCCTCAGTCTTCCTTTGGTGAGGCTAAACAAGTCAGCACTCAGTCCTTACATTTTTGTCTCTGAAAGGGACTGACTGTCTTTTTTTGCAGAAAACAGTTCTTTTTTACTTTGTCAGTGAAATAATTTATTTGGAAGGAACCCTGAAGTGAACAACCAGACTATTTAAAAAAGTGGCACAAGCTACTGCCTTGTGAATTTTGGAATGACAACTTGGCCCACCACAGGGTGTGGTAAAGCCCTCCTCTGCTGCTGTTGACACCTAGTGCAAGGATTACAATAGCAGGGAGTGTGCACAAAGGAAATGAGGGCAAATAGCTAAAGAAGTTCTCAAAAGCGTGAGTCAGAAACAGGAAGCTTGCAGATACTTCGCAAGTCTGTCAGACCACCAAGAGAGCAAAAGGGGACCTGTTAGGAAATGTAAGGATCTTGATGAATAGCAAAGAAGGGATTTGCATTACATGTTGCTGCAAAGGATAGCAAATCAGGACTGTTCCCTCCCTTTGAAGACATCCAGTGTCTTGCATAAAGCACAAATGTTTTTATCAATTTTAATGTTTTAATGTTTGTGAAATCACAGAGTGGTTGAGGTTGGAAGGGACCTCTGGAGGTCATCTGGTCCACCTCCCCTGTTCAAAGAGGGCCATCCGGAGCCAGTTGCCCAGGACCATGTCCAGATGACTTTTGAATATGTCCAAGGAGGGAGGCTTCACAGTCTCACTGGGCAACCAGTGCTGGTGCTCGATCACCCTCAGAGTAAAAAAA